TGCATTTTTTAAATAATTGTTATCGAATTATTACTCAATTAAATTCGAATCTCTAAAAAGTATGCTAGCTTCCATTTGTCAAATCACATATACTTAGCATGGAGTATAAGAAATATAAAGAAGATTTTTAAATTTTATGGTACTAAATTAAAGATGTATGTAAATATATTAAAATATTATTTAATCTTGTGATTGTAAACGTGTCATATAAAACGTTAAATTTAATTAAAGAGTTTTTGTAAAAAAAAACTAAATTTTATTTTTGAAATGGAGGAATTAGTAAGTTGTTGGTTCACTTTAACAAGCCCGTCCGACGTCCGTTGTTACTAGATATGATCATATGAGTTAGTGGTTGTTGATGGATGGATGAGGATAACGTGTACCTAATTCGAGTCTCACGTAATAACAAAGATAAGTTACGTGAAAGCATTTTATTTCTTTGATACTTTGTAAATTCATTTTACTTTTTTAAGGAAAAAAAAGCGAGTCAAGAATCATCCAATTTAAGCCCTTAAACAAGGTGTTAGAATTAAAAGCTATAGTGGATAATAAAAACATAACTTTATTTTTTAATTAAATCCACAAATAAGAAATAAATTATCAACCTCTCTCTGTGGGTGTGGGTGTGGGTGTGGGTGTTGCTATAAGCGATGTTGACATTACCCTCAAGGAATTTTACAAATTCTACAACATGTCTATAAATTATCAACCTCTGTTTTAACTTTCAAGCATTTTCAGCAATTATATATGGAGGAGGCTACAGCTCCACTTGTGGTTAAACCATCCAATATCAAAGAGCTTGCTGAATCACCTGATTTGCGTTTCATACCTAGTAATTATGTTCATAACTCTTGTTATAGCAATTCCTCTGCTACAAATGATATTGATGATTCAGATTCAATCCCCATTGTTGATTTTTCTCTACTCACCTCTCATGATTCTCATCAACGTTCCACAGCCATCCACCACCTCGCCAAAACTTGTCAAGATTGGGGCTTCTTCATGGTACGTAGTATGACGATTAAACTAACTAATTTCGAAGTCACGTTAGAACCTATGTATGTACATAAAAAGTACTACTAGAAGTTAATATTTTGAAAAACATCACGAACGTCTCAAATTGAAACAGAGGAAGTATAATAGTGGTCTTTTTAATTTGTTTTGTGCAAATTAATTAAGTGCAGGTAGTGAACCATGGCATACCAGAAAATCTGATGAAGTCAGTGATTGATTGCACTTATGAATTTTTCAATTTACCAGAGGAAGAAAAACACAAGTTTACTGGGAAGCATGTGTTGGATCCTATAAGATATGGTACAAGTTTTAATACTTGTAAAGAAAAGGTCTTTTTTTGGAGAGATTTTCTCAAGGTCTTTGTCCATCCTCATTTTCACTCCCCCACCAAACCACAATCCTACAGGTAACTTATATATACTGACAGTATAGCGTAACAACGCAATCAATCGCCTTATAATGCTACTTTTAGTGACTCGATAGTGTTAATTTGACAGGGATATTATGTTGGAGTATAGTGAGAAACTCCGGGAAGTGGCAAGAAAGTTACTAGGAGGCATTTGTGAAAGTTTAGGGCTTGAAGAGAGTTACTTGGACAAAGATTTAGAGTTGGAATCAGGGCTTCAAATCTTTATTGGAAATTACTATCCACCTTGTCCTCAACCTGAACTTACAATGGGTATGCCACCTCATTCAGATCATGGTCTTTTAACACTTCTCATTCATAACCAAGTTGGAGGTCTCCAGGTTCAGCATCAAGGCAAATGGATTAATGTCAATGCCCTTCCTAACTCTCTCTTGGTTAACACCGGCGATCATCTTGAGGTAATTGAATCCCCCTTTTCATGTCTAGAGTCACAAAGGTGCGTGATTTAAACATTAATCATTAGCCTTTAAAGTATTGAGTTCAGTTGAACTGTTTTATTTATAGTAAGATTGAAATAACAAGTTACTTTATTGTTACTTCAAGACTTAGAATTTGATGATATTTGAAATCATTTTTTTTTTTTTTTTTTTTAATGTGGTAGATATTTAGTAATGGGAAGTACAAGAGCAATCTACATAGAGCAGTGGTGAACAACAAAGTAACAAGGATATCAGTAGCGGTAGCTCATGGTCCATCATTAGACACAATTGTGAGGCCAGCTTCTCCATTGATGGAAAAAGAGAATAGCCCATCAGCTTATTATATTCCAATGAAGTACAAGGATTACTTGGAGATGCAACAGAGCAACCAACTTAATGCAAAGTCCTGTTTGGAAAGAGTTAAAATCCCAAGGAGCTGAGTGTTTTTATATATTTTTCCTCTTGTTTCCAAGTGTTTGATGATATACTAGTATTGTGGAACTTCAATAATATTATAAATACTATAGTTTAACGTGTAATCTTTTAAATTAGTAAACGTTTTGGCAGGGTCTGTTTATATGTATATCTTCAAATTAAATGTCATTTTCGGATAAGAGGGTGATGTGAAGTAGGGCCATTGCATGTATATCTTATATATATATGTCCAAGTTGATGACACCTACTCAAATGGAAGATTAATCAATTGCTTCTCCAAACTTCCGACGTTTTTGTTTTTTATTTTATTATTTTTGGTGTTTTTCTCTTTCTAGCGAATTCTACAACCCACAATTTGTTTGTGCAAGGATATTTAATAAATTTTTAAAAGTAATAGATCCTAGCCATAGAATGAGTATGGATATCCAATATATTTTTAAAAGTAACAGATCCTAGCTAACTTTTCTTAGAAAATCTGATTTTGGAATTGTGTTCAAAACAATCTTATTTGTACAATTTTTCCCTTGTTTACTAACACAAGATTATGTTTGGTTATTTGCTTTACCTCTTTGCCCAAAAATAAAATAATAATTTAACAGCATATCAGAAAGCTAGTTGGACAAAGCCTTATTGGACCTGGAGTTGGGCCTTTTCTACTGCTTTAATGACAACAGCTCAGCAGCTTATGGTCCCAACCAAGAACTGGGATTACTTGCCCAACTGTTCACATTACCAATTATAATTGATATTGTAATATTTAATAAACTTTAACAAATAAGTCAGGATGGCCGAGTGGTCTAAGGCGCCAGACTCAAGTTCTGGTCTTCGTAAGAGGGCGTGGGTTCAAATCCCACTTCTGACAAAAAAAAATTTTTTTACTAATAAAACAGTTTTACCTTTATTTTTATTTCTCTCTTTTTCTTGTCTGAGTAAAAAATTCAGACTACAAATATATTCTGACGTTAAAGAAGCAACAACTAATGATGGCTGCTGCAATCCCACTTCCTCACACCACTATATAATGAACATCCTTCTTTCTTGCTCCTGATCTAATCTTTCCTGCTTCTGCTACATAGGTTGTTTATCACATTGTTTTAAAAGGCTCTAAGAGAGTCGTTCTACGCTTGCTTTTAGACGGGAATATTTGCAAAAGTTGAGTCTTGTGCTTATGCCTCAAGCGTTTGATTGTATGTTTTCAGCACACCTACACCTTAATGTCCGGAGTTCATTCAATCCATTTGTAGAAATACAAATCAAATAACGAACCATAAAATTAAAAATTTTATTTAAGAAAAAAGTTTATTGAGTATTGAATTCAATAGGAAAATATGTAGTTTAATAACATCTTTTAAGAATTTGTGATTTTAATTATTTAAAAGTTAAAAACATTATGATTTGTATCTCGTAATAATTTTAACACCATTGAAGTACTTACTTTTATAATTGTAGTGGTAAAAACATGCTTGATATTTTTTTGTTGTTGTGATTTTTTTTAAGTTTCTTAAACTTTTGATTTCTACATATATTTTTGTGTCATTACGTTATTCTATCAATTCATAAATTAAAACTTTATGGCTTACTCACACCTTGTTTTCAATACTCCAAATTAAATATTAAATAAAAAATAATCTCAAAACAATTGATTATAACATTACTAATACATGGAGTATTATTTAACACTATATTTTTGTATAGGCTTCACAAAACGACCAGATAGAGTATACAATAGTGTGTTTTCAAAGCTTAACTAATATTTGTGGTTACAATTAATGGTCGAATAGTAATCAGATATTTCAAATTTGAATCAAAATACAAATTACTTTTTATTATATACTATTTTACCTCTAATAGGAACTGCATGGAAAAAAAATTGTCGTTACAAAACCACAACTTAAGTGGGAAAGTTGATAGTGGAAGTCATGTTGAATTCAAGGGCGGCTCTTGCATACAAAATTTGAGGCATATGCCTTAGGCCTCCAATTTTTGGGACCTCAAATTCTTACCAAAAATAATTTTTTTTGTTAATTTTTTTACATAAAATTATATTATTTTGTTCTCCTTAACTCCATTCAAATAGTAAAAACCAATTATTTTTTGCTAACACTCATATTATTTATCTGTTTGAACTATTTTTCTCCAAATCTTTGATAAGGTAGAGTAATAGTCTGTCAAAAATATGAATCAATAGTCGAAAAGTGTTGAACAAAGTAAATTACAATTGTTTTTTATTTCTTCTTAAATTTTCAAGCAATGCAACAAACATATTAAAGTAGGATATACCGAGTTATCAATTTCTTGAATCAAATTCTTTGATTTTAACTCTTGTTTTTATTTAAAGTTTGTCAACTTATTACTAAGAATTATGTTAACAATTCATATAGTAATGGCCCTAGTAAAAGAGTGTTTTCTAATGTTGAATTGATAAAATCTTACCTAAAACTAATAATAATAATAAAAAAGATATTTGAAGAAATCATCTATAAAGAAATTTTAAGCAAAAATTTACATCTAAAGAGTTAGAAAAATAATTTTTAAATAAATATATATGAAGTTTATTTAGATTTTAAGCCTCTAATTGAAATCTAAAAGTTAGAAAACTATTTTTAAAATAAATATATATGGAGTTTATTTAGATTTTAAGCCTCTAATTGAAATTTCGCTTTAGGCTTTTAATTACTTTGAGCTGCCCTGGTTGAATTGATTTAGTGACGTGGCGTTACCTGAGGCGTCGAAAGACGCTGATCGGCGCGAATAGTGAAGTGGCAGTTTCAGAATCACGTGTCTGTACCGGAAAAGTGGTCATCTTTTTCCTCACACCAAAAACCCTTCTTCACTCCTTCTCCACTACACACATTTCGTCTGTATGAAGGTAAACAAAAGATACTATTACTAATTTTCCATCTCTGATTTTCAGTCTATATGCTTCGTTAATCGAACTATTTTAGGGTTTCACTTTTGATATGTTTGCTTTTGGGGATTCATATACCTGACCCAACTAGTGGGTGTTCGTATTTTTCCCTTTCAGACTAGCTATATCCTCTGAAAGGAAGGACCATAGACATGTCTTTTACCTTGGAACTGTTCGCTCAAATGAGTCGCAGGAAAAGGAGTAAGAGGCATTTCGCCGTAAGAGGTTCTTACCACTTTTCTATTTTTCTTGTTTCTTTTGTTTTGTGATTATTTTTTGTTTTCATGCATACCCTTTTCTTGAAATTGCAGAATGTAACAAAAAGTTGGAACTTTTTATGCACCGGTGTTCTTCATTATTTGGTCGGTAGATCTTGTACTGGTTGGGCTATTAGAACTGAAGTAGTAAATTGGAGGAGATAGTTTTATAGTTTTGACAAGCTAGTGAATTTGACGATTTATGTGCCTTTTGGTTAGATGTAGGTTGGAGGTCTGCTTATGATTTATAGGAAGTTTAATTACTTTAATCTTTTACATGGAGAACTTGGGCAAGAAGAGAAAGGGAGTAGAAATTTCAGTGGTTTGTCAAAAAGATGAGAGTCTATTGACAGTAGTCAGGTCACATTTATCCTTGGAGGATTATTCTCAAAGGAAAAAGAAATCTAGGGAAATTGTGGTTGAAGATGACAACTTTTGTAGGAAGAATATCATTACTGGAGTAGCTACTGCCCCGTCTTGTGGGAGTGCACGTTCACGCTCACCTGGACGAGGTCTTAAAAGGAAAATAGGCTGTCTTGATTCAGCTACTCGATTGGGGCGGAAGAAGAAGATTGAGCAGGATTACGAGATGGGAGATGTTATTGGACGAGGGAAATTTGGGTCTGTTCTATTATGTCAGAGAAAGGTGAGTGGGGAAAAACATGCTTGCAAGACTCTGCTAAAGGGGGAAGAGATCATTCACCGTGAAGTTGAGATAATGCAGCATCTCTCTGGGCATCCAGGTGTTGTGACACTGAAGGCTGTGTATGAGGATGCTGAATCTTTTTATCTTGTTATGGAACTTTGCTCAGGAGGAAGGTTGCTTGACCAAATGGCTAGGGTTGGGCGATACCCTGAGCAACAAGCTGCTAATGTGATCAAAGATCTCATGCTGGTTATCAGATACTGCCATGAGATGGGTGTTGTGCACAGGGACATAAAGCCTGAAAATGTCCTCCTTACAACCTCTGGACAAGTTAAGGTTTCAGACTTTGGGCTAGCTGTGAGAATTTCATATGGTAATTCAAGATGACCTCCTCTATTTGAATTTGATTTGCCGGTATTGTTCATATTATTCTATTTAGTGTGCGTGAACCAGATAACTCACCCTATATTATTATGTCTACATATTGTTGTCTGACTAGCTGTTTTTAATCTAAGGCTGAAATTGTTAATTTGTGCTCCTCAAGTGCGGTGCTTCTTGGTGATCCCAGATCACCGATCTGCATTACTCCTTGCACCCAAGAAAGATGGAACTTATATGGGGATTCAGAAACACCTTTGTTTGATTGCCTTTGTTTACAATTATTTCCTTTTATTTTGCGATTAAAATATGTTCTTTAGAAAACTGAAATCACTTGTCCACATATTTTCCAAGTTTCTTAATTTTCATTTGCAGAAATATTTTGGAACATTTCAAACTTTTCTCAAACCTTGATGGGAATGAAATGTTGAAGAGTGTGCATTATACGCACCCTCAATCTATCCAAGTGTGCATTCAAATATGTCTTTTTCCAGTATACTCCTTGTTGTGCGGTTATTCCTTTTTTGCTAGAAGTTAAGCTTTACCTTTCACAAAAATGTGCTAATCCATGAAAAATTCATGTGTATCTTCACTTTTTGCACCATGTCCAATTAGGTTCAATCAAAGGATTTCTCTTTTTTTTTTTAAAATGACAGTTCTTATCTTAAACCCCTGATTTTTATCCATCCCCTTGCTTGGTCATTTTACCGAGTTAGTTTGGGAGGTGTTTACCTCAGATTATGCACATGAAAGACTAGAAACATTTTGGAATTTAATGCAATGTTGGATGATGGGTCTTTACATGTTGGTCTCAACTCTTTGTCGCACAGGATGTTAGCTATGTTCATGTTGTCTCTTGTGAGCGCATCATTAAATTTCTATTTTAAGTCATTCTAGTTCTTCTTGGAGGATTCATTGTACTAAACTGGGTGAAGCGGTTGTGTGTGTGTGTGTTTCTTTTGTAAGCTAATGATGTATTCAAAATGCTCAATTATTTATTGTGCTAGTAGGTCAGAGCTTGACTGGAGTAGTTGGAAGTCCAGCTTATGTTGCTCCTGAGGTTCTGCTAGGTGATTACACAGAGAAAGTGGACATATGGAGTGTAGGTGTCCTCCTACATGCACTTTTGGTGGGCTTGCTCCCATTTCAAGGTGATTCTTTGGAATCTATATTCAGTGCGATTAAGGAGGAGAACCTTGATTTCAGTGGTGGAGCTTGGGAATCTGTATCACAACCAGCTCGTGATCTGCTTTCTTGTATGATGACAAGGGATGTTTCAGCAAGGTACAGTGCTGACGAAGTACTAAGTGAGTAGCCTTCAGATCTCTTCCTTTCTTAACTGTTGCTATGATGAGTTGACTTTATACCTTATATTCTTTTATCGGGGTTTTTTTTTTTAATGAAATGTAATCATCAAAGAGAACTAGGACTGGATGAAGTGCTTTGGATCTACCTCTGGAACATTATTTAGCAGCATCTGTGTCTTGCCTTACAAGTAGAATATGAAATACGACTGATTATTCGTCTACTCTGTTAAATGACAACGCTGGATTTTTTCTTAAACATGTCTATGTCTATGCCTCACCTCACCTTGGGGTGCGCGGAGGGTGATAGATTTGTGCTTAATCGCTTCAAACACTATAGAATCTATTAAATATATTAATCTTCAGCTGAAGACACGTTGCCTCATCTCACGAATTGGAATAGGTCTTTATTTTATCCCTGTGAACAAGCTATAAGCTATGGTGTTGGAATTGCATGTCCAGAAGACTCAGTTTGGGTTAACTATAGTTCCTTTTATCACGGAAGCCTCAATGGTTTCATCACCACAAGAATATAATTTGTAAAAAATCCTGGTGTTGATGGACCAGTCCTGTGTATTTACCTGTACATCCCTGTTGACAGATCTAGTGATGGGTAACATAGTTTTTCTTTGACATTCTTGCTCTGCAAGGTTATCCAACATAATCTGTTGGAACTTTTTGGATATGGCGTAGAAGCATGGAGTTCAGATCAATTATTCAGTTGAATTTGCTGGATCATTCAGATATTGGTTGTCATATTCATCATGCCCTGAGCAATTGAATATATCTGGCAGATTGTTTGTTTCCCTTGGGTAATATGCTCAAGTTGGCATTCACTGTAACAGGCCCATTAATTGCCTTGTTAAGTGGGCTACTTTGGAGTTTTGGGGGATGGCGGGGTAAAGACTACCTGTTAAGAGTTGATATTATTTGTATTTTGATTATATCCATCTTTGTTTTCCACTGTTTTTCAGAATAAACGCATTGCACTAATATCATGACAAGCAAAAGTTGCAAATGTCTATATCCCACCTTTGTCTGATGTCTCTTTTAAATTTTGATGAATCCATTTTTCTTTTCTTACAGGACATCCATGGATTTTGTTTTACACTGCACCCACATTGAAGTATCATGCAAAGCCAATTAGAAGCCAGCTGACTGCTACTACTAGGATAGAGCGAGAGAGAAGAAACTTAGCCTTTAGCTCTCTCAGTGATGACTTTGGTTCAGCTTTAACATCTGGTAGTTCGTCTAAGATGCCTGAAGGTGAAGACTCTGGTTTTATCGATGCTCTCACAGTGGCTGTTTCACACATGAAGATATCAGAGCCAAAGAGAAGCAGAATATGCAGCCCAGCCAGAACAATCGATCAAGAATGTTCCCCTAACATACAAGCTAACCACCTCTGTACAGCGTTCTGACGGGTATGACCTGCAGCAGCATGTAGTGTTCCCCTTGTAAAGGTATCCCTTTGAAGCAACGGTGTAGCACAGCATGTCCATTGATTTGACTTCCCAACTACATGAAGTGGTAAATGGTGAACTGATTTCATTTAACCTTTGGCTCTAGAATAAATAATCATTAATAAACAAACCTGTCAGATCATACTCGACTAGTTTGGGGTTGCTTCTGTCATGTGAATTCATAACATGTCTTAACTTATAAGTTAGTGTGTGTGTGTGTGTGTTATGTAAATAAGGCGTGTTTTCTGACTCATTTCTATTGGAACGTTGTAAGAAAACATTCAATGGTGATAGATATGATGCATTTGGTATCAATCTTGATTAAGATTGGTGCTCCATGTGAGAAAACAAGGATTCACTGTGGGTTTTTGCCCAAAGATAAGGAGCTGTTTTGGCTTTTTCTCTTTGAAAATACCTAAAACAGTCCCCCATCTCTGTGTTTGGATTCAAAATCATCCATCTTCTTTAATCTGGAGGTCCATTATGTTGTCAAGGTGCTGCATTTTTTATCAATACACAGGTTCCGTTAACGGAGATATTGTCCTGCTGCCTACTAGTAGGAAGACAACTATTTGCATTTCTATTTGAAGATATCAAACAAGAACTGGAAACAACTTCAGATTTGGTCCATTTTTTTTCACACCAAAGCCAGTCAAATTACTGTTTATGTCATAAGCCACTGATTTGGCCTCACTTTCCTTTTCCAAGGTTCCTTCAGATGTTGAAAATGTCAACTAGGGAAACAATCAAAGCCCCACTAGTAGAGCAAATATTAAAGTTTAGATAAGCTAAAGCCAAAAAAATATTTTAAAAAAATAGATCAAATAAAATGGGAAATGTGTCCATTTCGAAGTGGGGCATAGGCAATGAATATATGTTGGAAGACCTAGTTGGACCCATGTCATTCATTTGAAAGTTAAGATTTGAAAAAAGGCATAATACATAAACATGATTCTTAACTTGGCTTCAATGAACAACTATGCCCTCCAACTTTGAATGTTGAATGTGTACAAGTAGGCACTTAAACTTGTATAAAATTGAACAACTAGACTCAAGTGTCCTACATGGCATAATACATGTAGGACACAAAATTGCCATGTAGGGTGCCATGTAGGACGAATGTGTTCATTTGCTCAATTTTATATAAGTTTAAGTGTCTACTTGTGCACATCGAAAATTAAAGGTCATAGTTGCCAACTGATGTCAAGTTAAGGGTCATGTTTATGTATTATGCTTTTGAAAAATAAAGGAAATATACAACGTGGTTTCTAAATTTGACCTTTAACCGATTAGTATTTAAATTTATATAAAATTGAACAAGTAGACATACGTTTTATATGACATAATACAAATTAGTTTAAGTATTTCACATGTGAACTAACATGTAGAATATTTGTGTTTATTTGTTCAATTGTATATAAATTTAAGTGTCTATCGAACGGAAAACTAGTACTACATTAGAAATTCTATCGCCATATCATCTTTAATTGGTGTGTAGAAAGTATTACTTGATGTCTCCTCACTTGACATAAGATATAATATCCAGCAAAGTATTTGTTATATATTTGCAGCCTCAATAGTTTGGCGTGGCACCATTTCCACCACTATTCACTTCCTTGGTATTATTTTCTTTTTTCTTATTACTCTGATGAGGAGGAGGAGGAGGCGGATTTTGCCCTCTTTCACTTCTTCTAATAATAAAATAGTATTTTCCTGTTTCTTTTTTTTTTTTACTCAACATGAAATTTAAAAATAAACTTTTTGAATTTTGTCGTCTTAAATTAAAGACAAGTAGAATATATTAAAATTAGAGGAGACTTCCTTATCAGAGAAAATGACAATTAATTATGGAGACATCCTTCTTCACAAGGAACTATTAATTCATCAATTCATACTACCCGTTTGAGTCTAAATATCTTTTTAATGATTGAAGTCGATTTTGATGTTTTCTCTTCCCATCCCTATTTACCGTCTGTTTGTAACTTGACTGAAACTTATGGATTTATTTTGTCCCAACAATTAAAAGATGGAAAAAGAATGAGTATGTAAAGCAAGAAAATAATTGCTTACAATTGCAACTACCATCTTTTTAATAATTTTGAGTTATCATTTATCTTTTGGAATGAGTAATTATCAAAAGACCTCGATGAGTATACTTTGGCCAACATACATGATACATGTGCGTTATCTATAAGTAAATCTTCTTAAAATATAAAATTGATAGATCATACAATTATATGTATTAAAAAAAGTAGGAGTAAATTAAAGAGACACATATGGGTGATGAATCTGACAATGGAGCCCCTTAGGAGATCTCTCTTTCATATAATAGTAATTGATGATGATTCCAAAATGGCTACTAACTTTTACTGTTACAGTCATTTCAAGGACAAAAACATTAGGACCCATATAATTTGTTATTCATCATTTATCAAGAGGACTAGAGTCTAGAGTACAACATCCCAATTGCACCTACATATATTTAGCACTAACCTATATTTTTGCCAAAAAATATTGGCATGTGTCTCTTGGTCATAATTGCTTAGATTTGCTTTTACTATAAAATTATAAAAACATCAAGGAAGGACATTTTATTTGTTTCTCTTTTCTTTTGGGTACGTAGCCCCGGAACTTAAACACATCCCTCTATTACAAGCAATCTTTTACACATTCAATTTTTTCAGAGGGTGTCTCTAGGGAAAAAAGGCCAAAGTTGCAATGAAAATGGAAACTTCTACTTCTCACAAAAATATTTTGAGAGACGAATCTAGGATTTCATAGTGGACTAGAAATTTCACTATATATCCATTAATTTTATGTATACATTTTAAGACAGGCAGTAATGTTATGAACGGGAGTGAACATTTCACTAGTCACTAGAAGTTTCCATGCCAACACCCAACTTTTATTCTTATATAAATGGCCAAACAAAAGAATAAGGACAAGAAAATGAAAGATAGAAATGAGAGTTACCAGATTACCCAAAATATAATTTACACACATGAACTCAAAGGAAGAAAGTGGTCCATACTCCTTCATTAGAGAATAAATTTGATGTCTACATTTATAAAAATACTATACCTACTCCATGTAAAAAATAAAAACTTCATTAGTCCTTCTCTCATGAGAAAGAATGTTTTGGACATTCCAACTAGTTAACACAAAATTTTAGAAGTGGGAAAAGTTTAAGTAGACTTACCAGCAACAACAACATCATATACCGTGTAATCTTATAAGTGAAGTCTGAAAAAGATAGTATATACGCAGATCTTACCCAACTTAAAAAAGGTAGATAGACTGTTTCGATATTCAAACAAATTTACCAAAAAAGCTTAATGAGTATATGAGGATTAACCCCTTTTCTCCTCCCTAAGACTTACACCTATTGAGAAATTTTAATAATTCAATGATTGGAAAAGAGAATTAGCAATGAATTGATCCACAGAATAGTACTGTGACCATTACTGCACAGCCTGTAAGTTGCCTTGAAAATCTTTTGAGAAGCCGACAAGTATGAGATAATTCCAAGCATCCCCATGTGAGATTTTTCCTTTTTTTTCCTCACCACTCCAGCTTCTCTACTTGCTCTGCTCCCTTCCTTCAACTTGGTGTCACTTTCTTGAGACTGTGTGACTTGTGAGTTTTCTTGAGAAAATTCTCTGCTGTGAATTCTGTTTTCTAGTCTTTCAGCTTCACAACATGTGGGAATCAGAAAATGAGTCTGTTAGTGGAAGAGATTATGGTAATGGAGTTCACAGTACCAGCAAGAATGGAGTCAAGACTGATAGTTTTGAGCAAAAAGGACAATCTTGGTATGTACTAACTACTTGTATTACTTCTTTAAAATGGTTCAATTATATGGTGACTTGTTGGAATACCTCAACTTATGTGTTCTTTGAATAGGTATGTAGCAACTGATATCCCAAGTGACCTTTTAGTTCAAATTGAAGATGTAAATTTCCATTTACACAAGGTGATTCCCTATAACTCAAAACACTTCAAATTTCTATCTCATATCTTATTCTCGTGGAAAATTATATGACTGACTAGTTTCTCTTTGTTTACTTCACTACTAAATATGTATAAAAAAAAAAAAAAGTATCCTTTGCTTTCTAGAAGTGGGAAAATGAACAGAATCATATATGAGTCAAGGGATGCAGAATTGAGTAAGATATCTTTAAATGAGTTACCAGGTGGACCTGAGGCATTTGAGCTAGCAGCAAAGTTCTGTTATGGTATTGCTATTGATCTAAGTGCAACCAATATTTCTGGCTTAAGATGTGCAGCAGAGTATCTTGAAATGACTGAGGATTTGGAAGAAGGCAACCTTATATTCAAGACTGAAGCTTTTCTCAGCTATGTGGTTTTATCTTCATGGAGAGACTCCATACTGGTGCTAAAGAGCTGTGAAAAGTTATCACCATGGGCTGAAAACCTACAAATTGTTAGAAGATGTAGTGAGTCCATTGCATGGAAAGCTTGTGCCAATCCAAAAGGAATAAAATGGCAATATACTGGTAAGCCTGCAAGCGTTTCTAGTCCGAGTAGAAACCACCAAGTACCTCCTGATTGGTGGTTTGAAGATGTTACGATTCTCAGGATTGATCACTTTGTGAGAGTGATTACTGCAATCAAGGTTAAGGGAATGAGACATGAACTGATAGGTGCTTCCATTATGCAGTATGCAACTAAATGGCTGCCAGGTTTAATCAAAGAAGGATCCGGATTGACAGAAGATGGCAGCAATAGCAGTAATAGTAATGGAAGCAGTAGTTGGAGAGGGGGTCTCCATATGATAATAGCAGGATCAGGAGAAGAAATACCAACTGTCCAGGCAAAAGATCAAAGGATGATTGTTGAAAGCCTAATAAGCATACTCCCACAACAGAAGGACAGTGTTTCATGTAGCTTCCTTCTTCGACTATTGAGGATGGCAAACATGCTTAAAGTGGCTCCAGCTTTGATAACAGAACTGGAGAAACGCGTAGGCATGCAATTTGAGCAGGCTACATTGGCTGATCTCCTCATACCATCTTACAATAAAAGTGAAACCATGTACGACATTGATCTCGTGCAGAGGCTTTTGGAACATTTCATAATTCAAGAGCAGACAGAAAGTTCAAGTCCTAGTAGATATCCATTCCCCGATAAACATATGCACGATGGAAGTCAAAGGGGTACAAATCTAAATGCCAAGATGAGGGTGGCAAGGCTCGTTGACAGTTACTTAACAGAAGTATCTAGAGATAGAAATCTTTCCTTGACAAAGTTTCAGGTCTTGGCAGAGGCTTTGCCAGATTCAGCAAGAACATGTGACGATGGACTTTATCGAGCAATTGATTCCTATCTCAAGGTATTTTAATATAATCCTGACAATTTTATTGTTGGGTGCATCATTAATTGATATCCTTAAAGCCATTGCTGTTGAGCTTGTTGTTTTTGATTTATCATGAATAGAGTTAGCCTTTCTGTTCTGAAATCTCGTTGTTCAAAAACCAACAATATTAGCCTGCTTACATATCTTAGGAGTTAAACAAACTTACTGTTATACATTATAATTTTTCAAGTAAAAGTGACATTTGCTTAAGAATTCTAGAATGTTGTATATGCTAAAGATCAAATTGATCACATAGAAGTAAATCATCTGCAAATATTGAAATTATACTGTCTGCATCTTAGAATTCTAGCCCAACATGCTTATCCTTTTAACAGAAACTCACTGATATACAACATAACAGGCCCATCCAACACTCTCAGAACATGAAAGAAAGAGGCTTTGCAGGGTGATGGATTGCCAGAAACTCTCTGTTGATGCTTGCATGCATGCTGCTCAGAACGAAAGGCTCCCACTACGAGTTGTGGTGCAAGTTCTCTTCTCTGAGCAGGTGAAGATAAGCAATGCAATAGCCAATATCTCTCTCAAAGATGCAGGGGAATCTCATTATCAACCCCTGGTATCACACCATAAGTCATTGCTTGAAGCAACGCCACAATCATTTCAAGAGGGATGGACAGCAGCCAAGAAGGACATCAACACTCTTAAGTTTGAACTAGAGACTGTGAAGACTAAATACGTAGAACTCCAAAATGACATGGATAACTTACAGAGACAGTTCGATAAGATTGCAAAACCAAAACAAGCCTCAGCATGGACTGCAGGTTGGAAAAAGTTGAGCAAGCTCACAAAAACGACAAATGTAGAAACACATGACATCAGTAGTCATATCCCAAATGCTGAACAGACCACAAAGCCTAGAAGGTGGAGAAATTCCATTTCCTGAGAAGGAAAAGGCTATGATAGAAGACTACCGGTTACAAGATTACCTCACAAAGTCATTCTGTGTTCCCTAATATTCAAGATTATCATGATTCTCCTATCACAAGAGTAGTTAAGACTTTCATTTTCATTGTAGATAGAAATTGTGATAATAGCACAATTTATTATAGATTCTCTAGTTTACTGGTGACTGGTTTCTCTGTAATGATTGTACCATCTTAAATTTGCATTCGGAGGTGCAGTAAAACTGGTTTTGCTGGTATGCATACCACCGCTGACATGCAGTTAAACTTATTATTATTCTGTGACTATCCGTAAAGAATTACATGAATATAAAAACTAATTTGACCAAGTGTAATACATACTAACGTAGTATTCGATGGCAGTCGAGAAGCCATTAATTAAATGAATAAGATGCAGCTCTGTATCTGGTCTCTCAACAGTATGTACTTCATTAGAGCAAAAAACTTAGTGAGGTTGCTTAACTTTCAGGAAAATATTTGATTACCACTAAATGGTTAGAAAACTGTGGTGAAATGGAATATCAGAAGCATTGCATAGCTTTCTGAATCAAGTCATGTCTTAACCAAAAAGATAAAAAGGCAACATAACATGGCAAGTAGATACTTTAAACTTCCAAACAAATGAAACAAGGAGATAATGGAACAACTTAACTTGACAAATCCCAGAAGTTAAACATAACAGCAGGAACGAATGTTTTAGAGCTCTATATCTCTCTGTCTCTTCTAGTTGTTCCTTCTTTCACTTTTCATCTTTAGGTACCAAGACTACAAGATTAGTACCTGTCTTGGTGGACTTGTCTGTCCAGTAGTTGAAAGTTCAGACAGATGGGATCGAAAGCCTTTCACGTTGAATATATAATAGAATTGGTTAGGAATTGACTCCTTCATTGTTCTATGGACAAAATGCATGTAACATGGAAATATTAGAGGACAAAATCTTGGGAACTACTTCCTCCATGACACTCACTAGATAACAAACAAGGTGGTTCATTGACTGGTGATTAATACATATATGTTGTATTCCTCAATTTCCAATGATGATATTCATTAAATGAATCTCTGTACCTTCCACTTATTGAAGGTATGCAAACCTCATTGATCTTTATGAGTTATGACATATATAAAGTTTGATGTTCGGTGCAGAAGAACATATAAAGAGGTTTATATGATCTTGAACTATCGATGTATTGCATTTGGGTGTTCAGATCCTTTCACAAACATGGCTCCAAAAGACTAACTCGCTAACAGACCACATTCTTGGAGTTTTACTCTTCTCCTAAAGATACGTGAGGTGAAATTTCAAAAACTAGTGCATAAAGAATGAACCACAATGTAGAATAGTAACCACAAAGCTAAGCTAAGCTAAACTAAGATGAGTGTTGTCCAACACAAGAATTGTTATACATCAGAACACTTTTTTTCCTTAATAAATTACATGTTACAATCATGCTTGTTAATTAGTAAAGTTTCTTTACCTCATTAGGATTAGTAAGGTAAGGCCCTAGTCTCCGTTGATTGTACTTATCCTTGTTGAGGATCTTTTATTTTTGTTAGTAATAAAAAGTCGCTAGACACGCCATCTCTTTTTCCTTTTTGCTGTTACTCTTTGGTTGAATATTAGGTTTGCCCCTGCTGGATGTGCTTTAGAGATTAGACCATTAACTTCGGTTAAAGTAGGTAGAAAAGTGATATTAGTGTCAAAGTCCTAAAATAATAATAGGTATACCATTTCTTTCTAAAGAAGAAATGAAAATTATAACCAATTGCACACTTTTACACCTTTTTCATTGAATTTCAATATCTGAATCATAGCTTGCAATACTTTCAAAAGAGCTGTGATTATGCATGTTGGCATGGTAGCCCTTTTCATAGTACAATTAGGGATCGTTTGGTAATATTAGTCCCAAGAGCTAACAATTTGAACTAAAAATGGTGGGGCTCAATCCCATATAGAAGGTGAGATAGCCTAATCTTAAGGATATTCATGTCTATCCTATCTCGCGTACCAAACAATCTCTAGGATTTAGTTTACATGATTAAATCCATTTATATTCAATAGTATAATGAATTTTTCCCATCATAAATGCAATTTAAATTGCTTTATTAGATAATTCTTTGCCTTACCCACTTAGTATTATAAATAGTTATATATAATTTAATCTGATGGTATACAAACTTTTTAGAACATCAATGTATAGAAGTTAATCTCAGAGAACATTAATTTTTCTCCTTGCGGAAATAAAATAACCCATTTTCAGTTTGATAACAGTAAACTTCTTTTAGCAGGCAACGATTTCAACTTCAAGTAAGATAACAGTAATTAGTTCTAACGTTTATAAATATATATAACCACATAATAATCAAACATAGACATCAGTATCCATTCAACAAAAGGTGCAAGCAAATATGAAAAGGATCACAAGAACAGAGAGGACGCAAAAATAAAAATATCGAAACAAACTATATTTTATTACTAGTATATTATTTTAAGTAGAAAAAGCATAAAGACAACACACACAGCAATAATAGCATGAAACACAAGGGTCCATCAGGCTCATAAAAAGACACCACGCTGAAAAGACTCACAAGTCTCCAACTACAACTCACCCATCCAAAGTGGAAACAAACCTAACTTTAAGACAAGATTTGATCATGTCTCTCCATCACCCTTTTCATGATAAGCTTAGAGGGCAGGGGTCCCTTTTTCAATGCACCTTCTTCAACACCAATGCCATCACTGCCTTTTGTGGAATCAACAGAAAGATCAAAACATCATAGCTACTCATTCTGACCTATAACAGTGGGAGATAGCAAGCCACTCTGACCCTGTGCTGGTGGGAGATAGCAAGTACCAAGTGAAATAGTCACACAAACTGACCCTGACATAACCAACCACAAAAAGAAAACCATCATACAGTCATTCAATTCAAGAAACATAATAGGGTGGATGGTGGGACCCCAAATCACCAAATGCGCATGCATAGAATCCATGGTTTTCTCAAGATTTTAAAGGGTCCCCCCTCATTTACAGCACTCATCTTTTGAACTTTGAAATTCTACTTTCTTAACCACAAAAGCTAAAAATAATCATTCCTCGTCGACCATAAACATTCCCCTTTTTGTTCTACCCCTTGCAAGTAAAAGATCAAAAGAATCCCACTAAATCTTTTCCTCTAGTGGATAATAATACTTGTTGCACTGTAGGACTGATGAGGATGGTAAATGCTTCACAATTTAACTACTTTCAACCAAATAATGATATATGGCTTTTCTGTACTATCCAAGCAACTATACCCCTAAAAATCCATAATGCTACTGTTGTAGGGGTTGGATACTAGTCTGTTCTTTAACAAGGGGCTGGGGGATACTCTTGAGGGAGCTCAGATACTAAGGCTTCGGCTTTACCCCTCAAAGACTTCAAGTAGTTGATTGCTTCATCAATAACCAACAACGGGTCCTTACTCTTTATCCCAGGAATCAAGCTCTCAAGAATCTTCAAAGTTTCACGAATTTTAACTTTCCTTTCCCTAGTGCTCAAACTGGAATCCTTATCCTTCCCACTAGAAGGAAGAGAGCCTCTCACACATCTTGCTTCCACATCATCATTGGGCCATCTAGATCCTATGTATGATGATTTCTTGTACCCACCATCTAGCAATCTTAGCCTTTTGCATGTGCCATCAGAACTGGCAACTTCTTCTGTAAGTTCCACAGACTGTTGCTCATGCTCACCGCAGCCGCAGCACCCCTGTTTTGCACAAGGAGAGCGATCTGTGCTAGTTACTTCATCATCCTCACCATAAACATCATCATCTTCGTCGCCTTCAATGTCATCAGAAGAGAAAAGCAAGGCATTGATGTCATCTGTATCTTCATGCGTATTACTTTCTTCACCATTTACATAACTTTCATCCAATTTCTCTCCACTAACGGGCTTCACATGAGATCTCTGCTCTACTACAACATTCAGGTTCTCATTTTGATGCAAACCATAAGCACCAAACACTTTTTTCGGTGTAATAATTTCATTCTCAGCAGGACATCCTTGACTAAAGAAGAATCTAGTTTGATTCCCAGATTGATCACAAATGAGAAACCTCTTCTGAGAACTTGTAGATGCATCAGTTGGTGGGGACTTAAACCCAATCAAGTGAGGAAGAAAGCGTTTAGCATCACTTGGATACTCATTTTTGGTGGGAACTAAGTTTGGCAGCCAACTGACTACATTGTGACGGGCTTCCTTGGAATTAGGCAAACAAGGGACAAAGCTTGAACGCCTAGGAGAAACTGCATTTGCAGCACATATGGCAGGGGTATACAGAGATGGAACACCAAGGTGATGTCCAGGTTGCAAGAGTGTAGTGGCATAATTCAAATTTGGTGAAGTCCATGCAGGATCCTGCTGGTAATATAGGAGCTTGCTGGTTGTAACCATCTAGACAGAAGAGAAACCTAACATGCATAATGTAAGAAATTAGATGGAAATCCATAGGCAAAATGCAACAGAAGCTTAACACAAATAGCAGCAGAAAGACTAGATGCATACCAGTGATATGGATTGTACAAATTCCACCTTAATTTACTTTAAGGACGTAAATAACAAGAAATTACTATAAAGCTGGATTTAAAACAAAGGCGTGAACTCAGAGCATCTACGTCACAGGCTTCAACAACTGACGGAAGTATTCAGCCTGGTAAGCAAAAACAGACTGTAAGTTTGGCAGCTTTTCAATTACATCATAGAAGCCCACAGCTGAGAAGCAACAGTTAAATATCACAGAAATTATCCATAAGTGAGGCAATAATATAGAACGAACCTGGCAATTCTGCAATGGTTGAAAGCATGCTATAACCCTAACTCTAATTGTTGCTCTCCCCGTGATTCCATTCTCATGCTTTAAGGCCCGAAATCTTGTTTGGCTTGCGGCTTGGCACACCATAACTACTTTCAACCTTCCAATGATATTCAAAATCTATGCCAAAAGACAATATCTGAAGCCCAAGAATAATAGGTACTAGCTTTCGGAGGAAAATGTAGACTACAACAAAGGAGAAGCTTGAGGAAATTGCAGTATGAAAAAAGCAATCTGAAAGACCAATAATGAGCACAGTGACAAAGTGCAAACGAATCAAAATCAGGACTAAGAGGATTTAATTTGATTAGCAATTGTCTATCTTTCAGCTAATCCTATAGATTTATCAAGAAAAAAGACAAAATTAACTGGTTACAGTTGATAGGCAGATGAAGAGAATGGTGAGGGAAAAGAGAAATCTGGTTTAATAGGAGAAATGACTTAAAGGATCACCCTGCAATACAAGTTCAAGGGGATGACGCAACAAAGCACATCAATTGATAGGCTCAGCCACCGCATATTGTTACTTCTTTACACTACAGAAGTTTTCGTGGTATGTTGTCAATAGGAAGTTAGTGCACCTGAAACATTTGGCAGCATATGCATCAAAGTCCTGAACCAGAACAACTAAACAGTTTGCAATGTAATATCACCAAAATCCTTAAGAGAAAAAAGATTGTGAGTTACCAGACAGCGACGGTTTTTTACCCACACAACATACCTGAAACCTATCTCTTATTCCATTTCATATGAATAAAATTTAAAAAAAAAAGAAGAAAAAAAAAGGCTAGAAGGAATTGAAGGGATGTGGAGTAACCTAGGCACAATCAACCTCAATAACCTAATCAAATCAGGCTCCTACATCATGACATTATACAGCTCTCTATGAGTTCTCATGAACTTAAACACTAAAACCCAAACTAAATCCAGATATCCTTTGCAATAAATATAAAATTGATAAAAAGAAGCAAAACTGGTGTTCTCAACAGTAAAACCATAAGTTTAAGGCCAAATCTTGCAAGAAAACCCCATCAAACAAATGCTTCTGAAAATCTTTTGAAGAGGCAAAAACACACACACAAGGAGATGAAATCAAGAATTCAGAAAAAACATCAAGAAAACCTAAACATGAAAAAATGATAAGGGATTTTCCAAGATTAGACAAAAAGATATCCCAAAGATCATAACCAAACCAGATAAATCAAAGGGCTTATAATTTAAAGTATCAAGAACATAAACAGTGTGCATAGTCTAGTGAAAAACGTACAACGAAGAGATCCAAGACAAGTGTAAACCAGCAAGCAGTATGCAGAGACAGAGAGAGAGAAGCAGAGGCAGAATGTAAACAGGTAGAAGATGAAAGAAGTGATGCAAACATCAAGAAAAAACACACATGGAGATAAAATCAAGAATTCAGAAAAAAAAACATCAAGAAAACCTAAAGATGAAAAACTGATAAGCAGGGGCTTTCCAAGATTAGATAAAAGATATCCCAAAGAACATTAACTTTCACCAAACCAGATAAATCCAAGTGCTTATCATTTAAATTATCATGATTATGTTAAAGAAACATAAACAGTGTGTAAACTAAGAAAAAAAATGGTATTGAAAAACTTACAATGAAGAGAGGGGAGAAGCAGAGGCAGAATGTGAAGTGATTATTGTTTGAAAGTAGAAGAAGAGCAGGTGAAAGAAGAAGTGATGTAATTTGGGTAGGATAGCATTATATATACGTTCCAATGACAACTTTACCCTTCATTACAATCATAAATACAATGGTATCGTTTCTTGGTTTTTTTTTTTTTTTTTGTTGATGTTACACCCATTAATAAAACAATTATTGATATAAGTATTTTACCATATTATTCCTACTAATTAGTGTCTAGTATCGGTTTTGAAAAATGATTTGGAGAATAGTATTTAATGTTAGGAGTAAAACATAGACTGTTTTTGTTATATCAAAAGTGATAAGTAAAAATGAAAATATATTTTAGAAATGGGTAAGAAACACGAGTATTTTGAACTCAAGATTCAAACCAATGGTCTCACATAAAATGAACGAATTGAGTACTAAACAACTGTTATTAAACCCTTCTTCATAAACGTGCAACAAAATCAACAAAAATGATGATTTTGCGATCAAGTATAATTATTAGCAATGATTATATTCAACCAAATTGCATAACTTAATTTCTTAAGTTACATAAAATAAAATTATTAGACCAAAAAAAATTATCGCTTATATATTCAAGTAGTATAGTTTATTTTAAAATGTCATTTTCACTTGAAAAAAATATTATTTTTTTGAATTTTACAATGAAACATGGTCAAACGCACACTTAATTTAGTCCCTCGTGTATTTTTTTGAATTTTACAATGGAACATGGTCAAACGCACACTTAATTTAGTCTCTCGTGCCCTTGATATTTATGAGGATCATGCCAGTATTGATAAACTTTTAAGGACTCAGGCCGCGACTTTAGGAGGCAATGGGTGTTTAAGGTCCATTAAACATCATTAGAAAGTTAAGCAGAAAGCATAATTGTAATTTGAAAAGCTTAATTACTACTCCACATGACTCCAAAAGAGAAAATAAAATGATTAACACCATGGTGTGAAATAGGACTTTCAGCCAAAGCAGGTTCAACCACTCCCTATATTATATTAGATTCAATAATACTTTATAATAATCGACAACCACTCCATATAATTAAGTAAATTTTCAAATAATGAATAATCATAAGAGTAAATTTAGGTCTACACTTTTCAAGACACAAAGCAACCACTAGCATCAATTAAAGGGATTTGTTAGTTTCTTGCTGATTTATTTAGACATTGCAACAATGGAGGTTGGCAGTAGTGACACAAAAGAAGAGATGTGTAGAGTTGTGAGACAATACCAAATTAACATGACTGAAGGCTGCTTACCAGACAGACCAATTTGATCTCTAAATGGTAATTGAGAGATAAAAAAAGAAGAAGAGGGTGGTTGGTTTGACAGCAAAGTATGTAGCAAACAACAAAGTACCTTTCAAGATGAGTATCTTACTGTGGAGAGCCCTTGAGGGGTACTGATGATAGCTAATGATTGATGTGGTAGGCCCTCATGGTGTTCAAATGAGATTGTGGGAGCACCTACTTGGCCACAATCAACTGGCTCAAAGTTGGTGGGGCTTCTTCTGTGCCACACTAAGAATCTAAGTTTTCATGATATACAATGGAGACAAATATTACTCCACCGCTGAACTCTTAAAGCAGTTAATCCTGTCACTAGACTCGTCAAAACACACTATTATTTCTTAAATCATCACCTCATCTAATTGTGGCCTAAATCAAACTAACGAGGTCATTCCAGATTTGCTCAAATGATCATTCAAACTCCAGACAATGTCGTATGGACTAGAATGGTGCATCAAGCAAAGGGATAAGATACATCATAGCTAATGAATGGCAAGGCTGGCATTCCTTGCAAAATGACACAATCAGTGAATTACAGTATGACATAGTTATCAAACACTGCCTGACAGAAGCCAATCAAGTTGACAAGCACCAGCTACAAACTGGAAAATTCCTCAGATCATCATGAACAGCAAGAGTTGCCTCACAGATAATTAGAGATCTTTTGATTCTCAACAGATAGACCAAGGAAACCCGGCATAAGAGCTGGGATTGTCCCTCCTATAGTGTACATCTTATTGTTGTTAAATAAAATCCCACCCAGCATACCCTTAAAGAAGAAGGGAACAACTGGCAAGACACAAGGGTACACCACCACAGAGACAATTTCACATATTTCTAAATATTTCCATTCCCATTTTTTCCTCCTAGTTTGTCAAATTGAATTTCCACCAATTCTTTTAAGCTGTCAATTTTTGTGAAGAAACATTAGCTATTTACAGAAGGCAGTAGGCAAGCATATGAAGAGGACGAGGAGAATAGTATCCCATATTAGTTGGAGTTGACCATACAAATTCTTACATCCATTCCATATTATATTTAATTACCAACTAATTTGTCTTGTAATGCAGATTAGTAGTCTCAAAGTATGACCATTATCCAGAGAAAAGCTAGAAAGCATTTATTATCGCCTTAATCTGTTTCAACAAGTTGCATTAGAGCAAAGAGTACATGAGCAGTTCTGATAACCTCAAGCTGTCTACTGTATAGAGTACACAACAGCTCCATCAGGATTGCCCAAATGTTAGCAAATTGCTCATTGTGCACCTAAGACTTCAATCTCAAAAACCAGAACTGAGTTTGGCTGAATACCCCATGCTGGAAATCCACCAGCACCATAAGCATAATCAGGGGTGCACTGCAAAATTAAAGACATCAGTTTAAACCTCCTTATAGAAGATCTTAATACATAAAGTCTAGAAACTTTTTTCAGATATGTACACAATTATAGCAAGATTAATACTCTTAGGAAGAATGCAAATATTGTATCATCACCATTCTATTATAAACTTTTCAGCCAATCCCATCAAAAAGATGGAGATGATGTGACCATGAAATGGGCAGTTACTACGAGGCAGAAATTGAAAAACGACCATTAGGGGGAGCCATCTGAAACCATCAATATATTTGAGCATCAATCGTAGAAAACATCATAATGTCTACCAGAGCCGTCTTAACCACTAGGCCACTAAAGTCATCGCTTGGGGCCCAATATTTTTTTTTAAAAAAATACTTATATATATTATTTTAAAAAAAAATTATATGTACTTTTAAATTTTTTTAAACAAAACTTGTAAGAAGTATATTTAAAAAAAATGACCGTTAGTTTTTCCACTTTTTTAAGGGAATGAAACATTTTTTGGGAATAATTTCCTTAAGTGGGAAGTTGTGTTTTCCTTATTTATCTCCTAAAAATTTGACCCTACATTATTATTTGCCTTATACTCATCTTTTTTATTCTCTATTTTATTATTTTTATTCTCAATATTGAACTCTCTCCTACAATTTTTTTTTTATTTACTATTGCTTACAAGTTACAAAAGAACAAAAATTGCTTTTGTGTGTCTTCTTCAAAATCTCAAGAAGTGCAACAAGCAATCATTATAATAATATTGAAGGAACACAACACTATGTCGATATTGTTTTATCAACTTATCAAATTCGTGAGCCAAGTTTCATTATTCTACCTTCATTTTATAGTTTCTTGAAAATCTGTTATTGTTGATATTCTTAGTTCATAAGTATATATATATTCTTGTTTTAGTTATTATTAAAACTATTCAATTTAAATATGTCAATAAGAAAATATGATTCCGGTTTTACAAAAAGAGAGAAAAAGAGAACTTGAAGAATTAAATAAATCCCAAAAAGGAGCCTTAGATAGATTTTTAAAAAATAATAAAAATTCTGAATTAAAAAATATTGCTTATAGAATAATGTTAACAATTATTGTAATTGTTGCCTTAGTCGAAAGAAGATTTTCAAAACTAAAATTGATAAAATCTTATCTAAGATCAATAATGTCTCAGGAGAGATTGAGTGGATTAGATATTATCAATTGAAAAGGAATTACTAAAACAAATCGATTATAAAACAGTAATTAATGACTCCGCA